CACACAGCAACCTGAAGATACTATATGCACCATCACAACTAAAACGTAAGTAGCTAAGCATATGTGTAAGAAAATATGGATAAATACAATATATTTATTATAACAGGGTGCAGTGATCATGTGTGAGGTGTGGAGGTGCGTTGACACCCTCCTGTGCAGGAGCTTGGAGGAAGCGCACTTACTTAACAATGCAGATATTGTTATCACCTTGTGTGTGCCATAATCTGAACAAACACTGCGGCTTCATACACAGCAGACAGGCGACATTCCCAACTGGTTTTATGATGCCTGGATCCACATGTGGCCTTACAGAGCAATTAAAGGGAAACTCCAAACTTAGATAATAGGATGCACTGGCATATTCTGTATAGACAAGGAAATACAAATTATTTTGTCAACTATGTAGATGTGAAATGGTGGAAAGGTCTGTTGTGGAATTATCTGACATCACTGAAAAGAGGTATAGACTCCAGAGAGAGATATCATATTACCCCGGGACAAATCATTAGTAAGACCTCATCTGGAATATGCAGTTCAGTTTTGGGCACCAATTCACAAAAACAACACTGGGGAACTGGAGAAAGTACAGAGAAGGGCAACCAAACTGATAAGAGGTATGGAGGAGCTCAGCTATGAGGAAAGATTAGAGGAACTGAATGTATTATCTCTTGAGAAGAGGAGATTAAGGGGCAATATAATCTCCATGTATAATACATAAGGGGGGATATGATCTCCATGTATAATACATAAGGGGGGATATGATCTTCATGTATAATACATAAGGGTGGGATATGATCTCCATGTATAATACATAAAGGGGGATATGATCTCCATGTATAATACATAAAGGGGGGATATGATCTCCATGTATAATACATAAGGGGGGGATATGATCTCCATGTATAATACATAAGGGGATATGATCTCCATGTATAATACATAAGGGGGGATATGATCTCCATGTATAATACATAAGGGGGATATGATCTCCATGTATAATACATAAGGGTGGGATATGATCTCCATGTATAATACATAAGGGGGGATATGATCTCCATGTATAATACATAAGGGGGGATATGATCTCCATGTATAATATATAAGGGGGATATGATCTCCATGTATAATACATAAGGGGGGATATGATCTCCATGTATAATACATAAGGGGGGTATGATCACCATGTATAATACATAAGGGGGGGTATGATCTCCATGTATAATACATAAGGGGGGATATGATCGACATGTATAATACATAAGGGGGGATATGATCTCCATGTATAATACATAAGGGGGGATATGATCGACATGTATAATACATAAGGGGGGGTATGATCTCCATGTATAATACATAAGGGGGGATATGATCTCCATGTATAATACATAAGGGGGGATATGATCTCCATGTATAATACATAAGGGGGGATATGATCTCCATGTATAATACATAAGGGGGATATGATCTTCATGTATAATACATAAGGGGGATGTGATCTCCATGTATAATACATAAGGGGGGGATATGATCTCCATGTATAATACATAAGGGGGATATGATCACCATGTATAATACATAAGGGGGGATATGATCTCCATGTATAATACATAAGGGGGGATATGATCTCCATGTATAATACATAAGGGGGATATGATCACCATGTATAAATAATAAGGGGGATATGATCACCATGTATAATACATAAGGGGGGATATGATCACCATGTATAATACATAAGGGGGGATATGATCACTTTGTATAATACATAAGGGGGGATATGATCTCCATGTATAATACATAAGGGGGGGATATGATCACCATGTATAATACATAAGGGGGGATGTGATCTCCATGTATAATACATAAGGGGGATATGATCTCCATGTATAATACATAAGGGGGGATGTGATCTCCATGTATAATACATAAGGGGGGATATGATCTCCATGTATAATACATAAGGGGGATATGATCACCATGTATAATACATAAGGGGGGATATGATCTCCATGTATAAATACATAAGGGGGGGGGATATGATCTCCATGTATAATACATCAGTGGTTCATATAGTGAACTCGGTGTAGTTATTCTCCCTGAGGTCATCACAGAGGACAAGGGGGCACACTTTACGTCTGGAGGAAAAGAAATTTAATCTACAAACACGGAAAGGCTTCTTCACAGTGAGAGCTGTGAGAATGTAGAATAGACTCCCTCAAGAGTTGGTTCAGGTCAGCTCAGTGGATTGCTTTAAAAAAGTCCTGGATTCTTTCTTGGATACACAGAATATAACTGGATACTAACATTTATAGGTAAAGTTGATCCAGGGAATATCCGATTGCCTCTCGGGGAATCAGGAAGGAATTTTTTTCCCTGCAGAACCAAATTGGATCATGCTTTGCTGGGTTTTTTTTTGCCTTCTTCTGGAGCAACTGTGGGTGTAGGATTATAACTTTTTTTTTTAATGGTTGAACTGGATGGACTTTTGTCTTTTTTCAGCCAGACTAACTATGTAACTGAAACAATTTTTGGAACAGGTCTAGGATAAATGAATTGCGCTTTCATGACCCTCGGGGGGTGGTCATTCATTTAAAGTCCATTTTACTCTTAAAAAAAACGCAAACACCCACCTTGATTTTGCTAGAGAAAGATAGTATCAGACATGGTTGGAGATCAGTGAATAGGTTTGCCTGCCCCCGAGGACTGAATTTAGTACACTGAATTTCTAATACGTTTAAAATAACCCTTAAAGGATAAGTTCACCTATAGCAGCATGTTACGTGTTACTGGAACAAGTGTGTAGAGCGGGGTTTCTCAACCAGGGTTCCACAGAATCCTAGTGTTCCTAGGGGTTCCTTGAGCAATGAGAAATTTCTGCCTCTCTGGTAAGTTCCCTTAAACACCATTGATCTTTTCAGTTATCTATAAGGGAGTAATTCCTTCCAAGGACCACAAGTGTAAGGAGCATTCTTCCCACCGACCATCACATTGATGTATCATGAGTTGTAGATATAGTCATTTTTAGCAGGGGTTCCCTGAGACCGCAAAGTTATTTCAAGGGTTCCTCTGCATTGAAAAGGTTGACAAATGCTGGTGTAGAGCTACCACCTCCTGTGAGTCATTGTCAGCTTCTATAACACGGCTCCTAACCTCAAAGGTCTCTGAAAACCTCCAATCTCCAATGAACATAAGTAAAAGCTGGCGTCAGTGTAAAGCAGCTAAAACACACAATCCTTTATTACTAAAAAGCTTGAAAAAGAAAGCAAATGCAGCCAACATAGCAAGGACCAGTAATCTGCAACATATTACATATCGGTTTTGGGTTTAGATACACTTTAAAGTGATGGCAAGGCAATATTCTATCAAGCAAATACATACAAAGTCTTCACCACCATGAGTAAGACGATTAACTCCGTCTCCATAAAGCACATGCACCACACCAAGGAGAGCAACAATTATAAAGACGCTCAATGAAACTAGGTATCAGAAAAGGAGTATTATTATTATTATACAGGATTTATATTATTATTATTATACAGGATTTATTTAGCGCCAACAGTTTGCTCAGCGCTTTACAATATAACGGGAGACAATACAGCAACAATACAGTTCAATACAAGAGGGTTAGGAGGGCCCTGTTCCTTGGAGCTTACAATCTAGGAGGGAGGGGCTAGTGGTACAAACGGTAGTAGGGGATGGACTGGTTGGAAGAGTAGAAGATTCCATTATTAGCTGAGGGCAGGATAGGCTTCCCTGAAGAGATAGGTTTTCAGAGATCGCCTAAAAGCGAGCAGAGTATACGATAGTCTGATAGATTGGGGTAGAGAGTTCCAGAGGATGGGGGAAGCTCTGGAGAAGTCCTGGAGATGAGCATGGGAGAAGGAGACAAGGGAGCTAAAGAGCAGGAAGTCGTGTGAGGAGCGGAGAGGACGGACGGTTTGGGTGATATTTGGAGACAAGATTAGTGATGTATTTTGGGGGCAGAGTTATAAATGGCTTTATACGTTATTGTTAATGTTTTGAATTTTATCCGTTGGGCAATGGGAAACCAGTGGAGGGATTGGCAGAGAGGGGTGGGGGACACTGAGTGGAGGCCAGTGGAGGGATTGGCAGAGAGGGGTGGGGGACACTGAGTGGAGGCCAGTGGAGGGATTGGCAGAGAGGGGTGGGGGACACTGAGTGGAGGCCAGTGGAGGGATTGGCAGAGAGGGGTGGAGTACACTGAGTGGAGGCCAGTGGAGGGATTGGCAGAGAGGGGTGGCAGATACAGAACGGTTAGTAAGGTGGATGAGTCTGGCAGCAGCATTCATGAAAGACTGAAGAGGGGATAGCCTGCGATTCGGTAGGCCAATGAGGAGGGAGTTACAATAGACAAGGCGAGATATAACAAGGGAGTGAATAAGTTGCTTAGTGGTTTCCGAGGTTAGGAATGGGCATATCTTGGAGATGTTGTGGAGGTAAAGTCTACAAGATTTGGACAGTGATTGGATTTGGGGTAAATTGAAGTAAATCAACAGACAACCAGCCTATTAATAGGAACTTTCAAAAACACTAAGAAAAAGATTAAAACCCTGAGAAATTGGCCTCCACATCTTGTGTCCCATACAGAAAGATACTCTCATACAGGAAGACAATTATTGTTCAAAAAAGAATTGTTAGCTGTGGTGTCAACAACAAAGAAGATCCAGCGCACATCTACAGAGGCAATGTAAAAGTGCCATATGACCACACCCCTAAAATATATTCCAATGGTTTGCTCCACCCAAAAGCAAAATTTAAGGTATAGGTTGAGCCCGGTGAGTTGAGAAAGCCACCTTTCTTCCTCTTTTGGATGCTCCTACAGTGAGACCTCCCTTCCATGATTGCAGGCTTTGTAGCTGTCCACCTGGGAGTTTTGGGTGCCCCGTCCACCTCAGCTGTGTTCAGCAAAACCTGCTACATCTTACCCATAATTAAAAGTAATTACAAAATCCAGAAGGGATGGTGGGAACCTCTCACATTGGGTACAGCAGGTGTGCAGACCTGAGAATTCAGCTTAAGGACGGTGGGAATTCCTCATAATGGGCACAGCAGGTGTGCAGACCCGGGAACCCAGCACAAAGATGGTGGGAACCCCTGATAATAGGCACAGCCGGTATGCAGACCAAGGAACTCAGCACAGGGATGGTAGGAAAACCCTCATAATGGGTTTAAAAAGTGTTCAGACCCAGGAACCCAGCACAGGGATGGTAGGAACCCCTCATAATGGGCACAGCAGGTGTTCAGACCCAGGATCTAAGCAAAATGATGGTGGATACAGTCAAAATGGGCACAACAGGTGTTCAGACCCAGGAACTCAGCACAGGGATGGTGGGAACCCCTCATAATAGGCACAACCGGTATGCAGACCAAGGAACTTAGCACATTGATGGTAGGAAAACCCTCATAATAGTACAAAAGGTGTTCAGACCCAGGAACCCAGCACAGGGATGGTAGGAACCCCTCATAATGGGCACAGCAGGTGTTCAGACCCGAACCTCAGAACAGGGATGGTGGGAACCCCTCATAATGGGCACAGCAGGTGTGTAGACCTGGGAGCTCAGAACAAGGATGGTGGGAACCCCTCATAATGAGCACAACAGGTATTCAGAACCAGGAAGTCAGCACAGGGATGGTGGGAATCCCTCATAATGAGCACAACAGGTGTTCAGAACCAGGAAGTCAGCACAGAGCTGGTGGGAACCCCTCATAATGGGCACAGAGGTGTTCAGACTCAGGAACACAGTAAAAGGATGGTGGGAATCCCCCATAAGAGGCACAGCAGGTGTGCAGACCCAAGAACTAAGCTGATGGATGTTGGAAACCCCTCATAATGGACAGAGCAGGTGTACAGACCCAAGAGCTCAGCACAAGGATGGTGGGAACCCCTCATAATGGGGGGTAACTCTTCGGAATCTTCCAAACACTGAAATATCCGTTTTTTTCTGGCGTGCCCACACCCATTGTTGAAGCTCCTGAGGATGGCAACAATAGCAGATACAGAAACATAAGAGGTTGCGTCTCACCTTTGCATATGAAGCATTTGATGTGGAAGTGTTTGGACTGGACTCGGAGGACCTCCCCTTTGCATGGCTCTCCACACTTATGGCAGCGGATGACTGGCTTCTCTGCAGGCTGCCCGGGGTCCTGGGAGTGGGCAACTGGAAGAGAGCGAGAGGGGAAATAATGAAACCACTTCCTGCACAGAGCAAAAACTTTCAGAGTCACAAAGAGAAAATGATATCTTCCCACATCAGCAATCCCAGAGGAGAGTCAGAAATAAAACACCATGATATAGGCTTCCTCTGCAGACAATAATGATCTACTTTGTGACACAACAGGAAGTGAGGAAAATCTCAGACAGTTGTCACCAGAAAAGGCATCCCCATTTTAAAAGAGAATAATAGTTTTTTTATGAACTAATTTTAATTTAAAATTCTTTTATTTTTTAAAGTTAACCACATGACCACAACAGCACCAATCTACCCTGGGCAGCCACTGGAAAATGAAGTCAGCTTCCCAGGCATTGAAAACACCAGAATTGGACACACAGGGGCTAATTGACCAACGTGCCTGTGGCCTCAAGTATGGATAGTTCTCTTTTCTTTTTGTTTACAAACGATGTTATTTTTCAAGAAATAGTCTGTAAAGTGACATTACAGCTTCAAAACAGTATGTAAAACAGAAACAAGGCACAACTGAAATGTACATTTCAGAAAGTACAATCATGTAGAGTAAAGAAGAGAAGAGAGAAAGAGAGAAAAGAATTTAAGTACACGAGGAATATGAATAGAAAGGTAAGCAGAATTTCCCATTTTCTATCGAATAAGTGCATCTTGTCCAGTAAAGTGCAATGAATTCTTTCCATGAGCATCACAGCATCAACCCTATGCAGAACAGAGGCCAATGGTACTGTGAGAGATTTCCAGTGTAGGTCACTAGCTCATAGATAGTTCTCTTTTTTTAAATGATTATAATATTTGTGAATAAAAATATTTTTTTCTGCAGCCACCAAAAAAGTCCCATATATAAACTGACTTTTTGGGCAATCAACTCAGCCTTGGCAAAGTCACTGAACTGCTCAAAGACGGCTTTTTAATGATAAAAGATAGAGCTTTGCTGAAAAATGATACAAATCTCATATATTGTGACATGTCAAGAATTTATCTATACAGACTTTTAGTTACTGACATGTCCACTTCACGTGTCTCCATTATGTAATGCACCCATACATCATCACATCCAGTAAATCCTGGATAAACCCAAAGCACATACACAAATCTCAGGTAATTTGGGGACGTGTCAGTCCATGCAGGTGCTGAAGATGATTGTTTCCTGTAGACAAAGACCCATTGTGCGGGAAATCAGCGTCTTATTAATCGCATTGTTGACAGATGTCCTTCCTATCCCGCTATTAATTAAAGCACTGTGACCTTTCAAAGTGTATCTGAGAACCGACTGGAAGACAATTTTATATTTCCACCACTCCCTCAGTGATCAGACCTCAACGCTGTAACAAAATGAGAGGCTGCAGCAAGGGCTGATCGGTGTCAGACATTTGTGAACACAACCAAGAAGTGCACAAGCACCAGTATTTACATGACTGTGTCATCTCTAGGCCAGCATCTCAGTCCAGTAAGTACATGGTGATCCTGGATGATGCCGGAACAAAGATGCTGCCATCCATCCAAACAGGAAAACAGATGCAGGCTTAATCAGAGGGAGTACTGTGATTTCTGTGAGAAGTAATAAATACCTGAAAGTGTTACAAGGACATATTACCGAGATGAAAACGTAAATCTGATGATAGATCCACTCCAATATGTTTTAAAGCATAACTCAATGAAAATGTTTTTTTCCCATGCAGTGGGGCTGTGCCCGCACTGCATGGGCTAACTGCTAATTTTGCCCAGGGGCACACAGAAAGGCTATACTTACCCGATCCTTCAATCATCTGGAAAACAGCGCTCCCCCACATCCAGCAGTGGACGGTTCCTGCTGTCCTTGACGTGAAGAAGTCTGGAACAGTCCATGCTCAAGACCACTAGAGTGTGTGGTGCAGAAGCGGCAGGGACCAGTTTTGCAATCATTGTGCTTTAAATTATTGAAATATTTGTTTTTCTGAAGATTGATCTTAAAGTGGATGTTTGGCTGCCCTGCCCCCTCCCTCTCTTACAAATGGAATAATATATATATATATATATATATATATATATATATATATATACTATATATTATACACATACACACATACAGAATATACACACACTATAGTGCCAAAACTATTGGGCCAGCCCTCCAAATCATGTGATTCAGGTGTTCCAATCACCTCCATGGCCACAGGTGTATATAATCAAGCTCCTAGGCATGCAGACGACTTCTACAAACATTTGTGAAAGAATGGGTCGCTCTCAGGAGCTCTGTGAATTCAAGCGTGGTACCGTGATAGGTTGTCACCTGTGCAACAAATCCATCCGTGACATTTCCTGGCTACTAAATATTCCACGCTCAACTGTTAGTTGTATTATAACAAAGTGGAAGCAACTGGGAACAACAGCAACTCAGCCACCAACTGGTAGGCCACATAACATGACAGAGCGGGGTCAGCGCATGCTGAAGCGCACAGTGCACAGAAGTCACCAACTGCCTGCAGAGTCAATATCTAAAGACCTCCAAACTTCATGTGGCCTTCAGATTAGCACAACAGCAGTGCATAGAGAGCTTCATGGAATGGGTTTCCATGGCCGAGCAGCTGCATCCAAGTCTTACATCACCAAGTGCAGTGCAAAGAGTCAGATGCAGTGGTGTAAAACACGCCGCCACTGGACTCTAGAGCAGTGGAGACGTGTTATCTGGAGTGACCAATTACGCTTCTCAGTCTGGAAATCCGATGGACGTGTCTGGGTTTGGTGGTTGCCAGGAGAACGGTACCTGCCTGACTGCATTGTGCCAAATGTAAAGTTTGGTGGAGGTGGGATTATGGTATGGGGTGGATTTTAAGGGGTTGGGCTTGGCCCCCTAGTTCCAGTGAAGGGAACTCTTAAGGCATCAGCATACCAAGACATTTTGGACAATTTCATGCTCCCAACTTTGTGGGAACAGTTTGGGGGTGGCCCCTTCCTGTTCCAACATTACTGGAACAAAGACATGGATGAGCGAGTTTGGGGTGGAGGAACTTGACTGACCTGCACAGAGTCCTGACCTCAACCCAATAGAACATTTTTGGGATGAATTAGAGCGGAGACTGTGAGCCAGGCCTTCTCCCCCAACATCAGTGCCTGACCTCACAAATGTGCTTCTGGAAGAATGGTCAAACCTTCCCATAGACACCCTCCTAAACCTTGTGGACAGCTTTCACAGAAAGCTCTCAAAAAAATTGAATGAACACTTTGTAATCAGAGTATAGCATCAAGTCAATGAAACTCCTGGGGTATTGATCTGGTCAGTTAAGTAGCAGAGGGGGTTCTTAATCAGTTTCAGCTGCTTTGGTGTTAATGAAATTAACAACAGGTGCACTAGATGGGCAACAATGAGACAATCCCCAAAACAGGAATGGTTTTACAGGTGGAGGCCACTGACATTTTTCCCTACTCATCTTTTCTGACTGTTTCTCACTAGTTTTGCATTTGGCTAGGGTCAGTGTCACTACTGGTAGCATGAGGCCATACCTGGACCCTACAGAGGTTGCACAGGCAGTCCAACTCCTCCAGGATGGCACAGAAGTCAAGAGCATGGAGGATATTCCAAAAGACACACAGTTACTCTAGGATAGCTCGACAGGACCATAGAAGGTCCCTAAGCCATCAGCAGGATCGGTATCTAGAAGAGGAACAGGAGGAGCACTGCCAGAGCCCTACAAAATCACCTCCAGCAGGCCACAGCAGGGGACGCACAGACCTCTACAGGCTAGACAATGACACCTTGACTGCCATTAGGTATCGGGATGAAATCCTTGGGCCCATTGTCAGACCCTACACTGGTGCAGTGGGTTCTGGTTCCTCCTGGTGCACGACAATGCCCGGCTTCATGTGGTGAGAGTATGCAGGCAGTTCCTGGAGGATGAAGGAATTGATACCATTGAATGGCCCCCACACGCGCCTGACCTAAATCCAATAGAACACCTCTGGGATATCATGTTTCTGTCCATCCGACGCCTCCAGGTTGCACCTCAGACTGTCCAGGAGCTCAGTGATGCCCTGGTCCATATTGGGGAGGAAATATTCCAGGACACCATCCGTGGTCTAATTAGGAGCATGCCCCGACGTTGTCAGGAACGCATACAAGCACCTGGGGGCCATACAAACTACTGAGGACCATTCTGAGTTGCTGCAATGAAATTTCAGCAAAA